ATGTGTGCACTGCTTGTCTTCACGTGTATGTGGTTTGTATGTGTGTGTAATCTGCAGTCTGTGTGTTTACAAATTCACGTGTCACTTGCAGGCATGCATGTGTAGTGTGTGGTCGGCCTGCCTGTTGTGTGCATTGCACGTGGTGTATGCATGAATGTGTGTGTGCAGGTGCAGTGACTTGCGTCATTCAGCTGGTTTGGAAATTTGGACCCAGTCCAGCATGGCCTGGTCCAGTGCAGTCCATGGTGCTTCCCAGGGGAGGGTACTGTGATCATCTTCACAGCCTGCAGGTCCTTCCTGCCAGTGAGTCCCGATGAGGGGTTAGGGCCAGGCCGCTGGAGGTGGAACCAAGGGTGTCCAAAAGTGGGTGCACAGAGGTGTACTGGGCCCCCAAAGAGGCTCCCAACTCCCAAAGAGGCAGCTAGAGCAGAGTGAAAGGGTTTGAGATGGAGAGGTGGGGGGTTGTAGAGGGTGCCCAGCTTCTGCAGGCCCCAGTGGGACTGCTCTCAGGACCTTTTGCCCTGGCCCTGAGGAGGCAGGGGGCTGCCCACCTCTCCCTCCCCCTTCATCCCAGTGCTGCCAGTTCATTTTATGCAGGTAGAGTTCTTGCTGCAGGGCCTGCTCTGCTGGCCAAGTGCTCAGAAGTCACTGAAAGGCAGGTGGCATTCCCTGAGAAGCACCTCACTCTGGCATTGCACTAAGGGCACTGCTTACCCTAGGTTGCTTCTCGCCTCACAACAGCCCAGTAGGCAAGGACAAGGTGTGTATAAAGTGCTTATGTAGCATGTGTAGGAAAGAAGAAAAAGAACAAAAAGGAAGACAACCACAACAAAACACTTCATGTGCAGAGCTGACAGGGCTGGGATGGGATTCTGAGTAAGGGTCAGTAGAACTGGCTGTAGATCTTATTTCTGAAATGCTCATTCCTCACTCTTGGCCAATAGAAAGAGTGAGGTACTGAGTTTGTTTCTATGTTGAGGACCAGGGCGAATTGCCTGGCAAGGGGACATCAAAACCAGGGTGCAGCGGGGAGGTTGTTACTTCCCCCAGATCCCTTGGCTCCCCTCGCTTCCCCAAAGTCCATCACGGGCAGGGCCCTTACTGGCCATAACTCTCCTTGGCTGCATCCCACACGCCAGGAACCTTAAACACACTGTTTTAGGGGATTATGGAGGCACCAAGTGCAGCCACGCAGAAGAGTTGACTGATGGGACAGAACTGTCACTTAATCAGAGTCTCAAATTCCCCATTGGAAGAGTGTTCTTGGGTGTTGCAGCCAGGCAGTGGTAAAATTGACCCCACAGGCCAGGTCCATGAAGAGCACGGGTCTGGCCTTGCTCGTGTACTTGCATGACACCTGGAACTCTGCCGAGCAGCTCACTGGTGCACCTGCAGCTCCCAGCAGGGTGCCTGGCACTTAGAAGTTCATTTGGAACTAGAGGGCAAGGCCTGGAGAGGGACTCAAAGAACTGCTCACCGGCAGCTGTGGGCTCTAAGGAAATGGAATTGGTGGAGGACCGGCAGCAGCAAATGAATGATCCTGAGGGTGGAGATTTGGGGTACTGTGGGTTGCATATTTGGACCAGGGTCCCTTTGGTTTCCCAAATCTCACTACCAAGGTAGCTGCCAGCCTGGTTTCAAGCCCACAACCTTTCCTTGTTTCCTGTACTTTTGTTGGTGCCATCCCGGCCTCCCTCAAAATAAAATCTTGAGACTTTTCAGGGATGCTAGATATCACTTATTTCAGTGGTTTGAGTCCCAGAGTGTCATTAGTGGCTAAAAATAGCATCACTCTTTTGCAATAGCCTTGTGATGACCCTCCACAACACTTCCTCAATAACAAGCTGGGACATGGGCAAGGCAGAGGCTGAGAGTGGATTCCTTAGCACCAGGGGTTTTTAAACTTGCTGCTTCTGAGCCCTGACAGTCTTGGATATTCTGTAAGGAACACTGCTGTCAGGCAATGGTTTGGGACCCTCGATTTCCTCATTCCTAAGTGCAGGCTGGCTGTGGAGCCACCCAAGAGCTCTAATTCCACTTTAATCAGATCCAGTCCATAGAACACTCCCTTACCGAGGGTTAATGACACTAATTACTGCGTCCTCTTCACTTAGAACATGCTCAAAGGAGCTAATTGCCACATAATGGTCCAGGATGAGCTCAGGTCCTAGTGGAACACCAGGGAAGAGAGTCCCCTTCTTCCCACCCATCCCTGTGCCCCGCACCCATGCGATCACCTTGTTCATTTTCTCACAGTGGAGCTTCCTGTCTTCTGGCTCCACATGACCTTGATGGAAAGCAGGAGTTTTAGCTGCATTCCCTTCCAGGGCATTTGGTTATAGATGGGGTCCCCTGACAGGTCCACCAAGTTTGGGTAACTGCTCTGTGGGTGACAATGGAACAGACACTTCCCACAGGATGTAGTGACAGGCCTCTCCTATGTACACCTTCTGAAAAATAAACCCACATGAAAAATGCACAGGTAACTTGGTCCAGAAATTTGTCTTCTAGGGGTCTATCCCATAGAATACTTTTGTACATCCGTATGAAGGATATACAAGGGTGTCACAGCATTGGTGGAATAGCAAAAGGATGAAAAATAATCTAAATGTCTGCACAAGAGTGGACTGCATAAATAAGTTACGTCATATTCATCGAGTGGGGGGCTGTGGAGGGAATAAAGAAGGAGTCCAATCTGCTATGAAACTATGCTTAAGATATATTAAGCAACAAGAACAGTGTACATAGTATGTTACTATTTGTGTAAATAATGCAGTGTGTGTGTGTGTGTGTGTGTGTGTGTGTGTGTGTGTGTGTGTGCATGTGTGTGTATGGCTACGGGCTGTCAGGCTCTTGCGGAGTTGCAGTGGGGATCAAGGGGTCCAGTTCAGTGGGCGACTCACAGCAGTACACACCTGCCAGCAGCAGTTTCATGGGAGGTGACAAAGTCATGGTCCTTGGTTGCAAGGACAATTCTCTCTAAGGTTTCAGCAAGACTTAGGGCTCACGTTGAACTAGAGCGCAAGCCCAGCGTTGGGAAGGCAGAAAGTCATTGTGGATAACAGTCAGAGTGAGTGTGGGTAAGAGTCAGAGTGGGAAACAGGGTATGCTGAGAGGAGACAAAGGCCGTCCTTACCAAGACTCAAGTCATACCAAAGCTTTTGTTGAGTCAAGATCAAGTTCAATGGTTTTTAAGTTATTTACTTCACCCTCACAGTCCTCATCTCTTATGGTGCGGATGAACATCAGATCCTAGAGGTTCAGAGTTCTCTTCTTGGGGCATAAGCAAGTGTCTGTTCCCGAGGATGTGGATCAGGAGGTGGGTGAGACCTTGTGTCTGAGGTTGGGGTTGGAGAGTCCACCTGTCTCTTGAGTCTGTGGTAGAGGGAGTTCAGGTCAAGAGTCTATAGAGACTGGGGTTCCCTTGGTGACAGAAGGCAGTCCAAGGAAGGCCCCACAAAGCAGCAGCTCATCAGGAGGACAGACTCAGGAGGAGTGCAGACCACCACCCCTTATCCCCAGGTTCTGCTTGCGTAGATCCAACCCACTGCACATCAAAAATATTTGGAAAAAAAAACTCATCAGAATTGAACACTTACAGACTCATCACTTTCTGTAGATTATGGTAAGGTCTATCAGTTATTCACAGAGCACTTTCATTGATCAGATGTTTTAAGTAATGTGGAGGCGATTTAAAGCACATGGAGAATGTGTATAGGTTATATGCAAATGCGATTTTACATACGAGAGTTAAGCATCCTTGGATTTCAGTTTCCTTTGGGCTCCTGGAACCAATGCTCCAGGGATTTTGAGGGGCACTGTGCTTTCTGAGCACAGAGCATGTCCAAGGTGCACAGGCCACCCACCATCTCTGTCTGCTGATTGTGTCAGCCTTATGTACAAGCACGGGCTGGGAGATGTGCTGGCAGCCAGAGTACACCTGGAGACCGCTGGTCTTCTTGGGTCTGTGACCCAAGCTGCTGGATCCTGGCAAAACTTGGAGATCTGGCCTGGCTGTGGGTGGGAAACTTTCTGACTATGGTGTACCCCAAACTGTCACATGGGGTATCCTTAGCATTCAAATTAACTCATCCATCTCTTACATCTCCTTCCTCTGTATTCGTCCCACAGTTTAGAAGCGGTTACTTGCACTTTTCTACCAAATAATCCTTCACGTTCTTACAAAGTTTAAATTTCACTTTGACCCCTTACTTTTTTATCCTTAGATGTTTTTCTTATTCACTATCTTATATTTCTTCTTTTGGGCTTTCTCTTCTCTGCATCTAACCCATTTTTACATTATGTTTTTCATCCAGTCCTTAGCCTGCCAGTGTCTGAGGCCTTCCAGAGGGCACTAGACCAGCCAAACACCTCTGCCCGGTGCTCCAGACATCAGTGGTGGGACCCTGGACTTCCCGGGCCTCAGCTTCAAAATTAGGAAGTTGAGAGTTCATTGTTAAGACGTTGTTTAGCTCCAGCGACCAAATTACTGAGTCAGTTCAAGGACAAAGCTTTGTTCCAGTAAATAACATACATTAATAGAGCAAAGAATTAATTTCTTAAAATAGGTATATGATACTATGCAGTGTTATGACTTAAGAAACAGCGAGTGTACTGAAGATAAACATTTATGGCTTACTAGTTGTCAAATGAAAATATTCTTTATCATATTTTAAACTCGAAGCTAGCGTACTGATGAGTGTCCGACCTAAAAAGAATGCAGGGTGTGTGAAAAGTGAATTTCAGTTACAGATAAGCCTTAAAAAGACTAAGAAACAATGACAAGCAGTAGAAGCAATTGCTGGGGACACCAAACCAGGTGACCAGCCCAACAAAGTCTAACTGAGTGTTCGCAGTGTTTGGTGAGCGTGTTTGTGGCACGGGGTTTTGGCTGCTCGATTACTAAGCTGCTTCTTGGTGCTTCTTCAGGTGGGTGGGGGGGAGGTCTCTTCCCTGGAAAGCTGGGTGTCACCATCCCAAAGAGGCTCCAGGGAAAGTCATTAATTCTTCTTCTTCTGCCTTTTCCCTTTCTTTTTCCCTTTAGCCTTGTCCTTTTCTTTGCCACCAATTGTTAAGGCCAAGGCTCGCCTTTTCCCCAGAGGAGTTTTGGCATACCAGTTCTGAAATAGAAGCAATGTTCAGGAAAAGATAAGGCGACCTGAACTCACGAAATTCTCTTAAAACTAAAGATAAGCCTGCTAAGAAGGAAGTGTCTGGCGGCCATCGTACTTTGGGCATTTAATGTATGGATACAAAGTCTGTATTCCTGCATGATTTGAAACTCTTACCTAAGGAGTTTGCAGATTCAGACAATCACAGAGTAAATTTAACCAACAAGCCCTCCCAATAAGTCATCTGTTTCCCTGGCACATTCCTGTGTCCTGAGGATGTATGTTTTTATGGAAATGTAAATGGCCCCTGGTTCAGGGGTGGCCGCTAGGAGCTCGACTTGTGGCCATGTGTGACCACGGGAGGCCATTCTCACACTCTGAGGGAGACTGTGCAAAATGTGGCAGAAGTAATGGAGTCAAGACATCAAAAAGCACTTAGTGATGGAAACTGGCCCTACTGATGGCACTGTGTTTGAGATCCTGAAAAACAGTTGTCTTATAAACTTTAGAGGTATAATAGTACATGAAGTGGTTATATCACACCTATGTATCAGCTCTCCTGTCAGTGGACTTGCAGGTCATTTCCAATGTTTAGTTCACAGTTTAGACACACCTCTTTGTGGGCACACGAGGGAACTTCTCTCAGGCACAGGCGGGAAAATAGAAATCCTAGGGTTACAAATACTGGTATGTTCAATTCAACTTAACATTGCCAAATTGCTCTCTGAAGTAATGTGAGTGGCGAAGTCTTAGTCACTTAACTGAAAGTGTCTGTTTCCTCCTATGTTTTGGATGCTAATTTAGGTGGAAATAAATATTAGGTAGCTGGTTCTTTTCCCTCAGTACTTTGCAGGTATAATCTCACCATCTTCTGGCATCTGTTTCTGTCAAACAGATATCTGATTGTCCAGCTGCTGTCTCTTTGTTGGTAATCTGTCTGTTAGCTTTTAAGCCCAGTGTGTTGGGTTCTTAAATTCCCAACAAGGGACCCAGGTATGGATTTATTTTTATTTGACTGACTGGCTTCTTAGAGTTTATTGTTAACCTGGTAGCTCATGTCTTTAATTCAGGAAGATTCTCAGCATATATTTCTTCCTGTAACTGTCCTTCTGATATTTCTTACATTCCCTTCTTCTAGAACTTCTGTTAGTTGAATGTCAAGGTCTTTCATGCATCTTAATTTTACCTTTATGGGTTTTATTTTATTTTGTTTATTTTATTTTATTATTCATATGTGCATACAAGGCTTGGGTCATTTCTTCCCCCTGCCCCCACCCCCTCCCTTACCACCCACTCCGCCCCCCCCCGCCCTCAATACCCAGCAGAAACTATTTTCCCCTTATTTCTAATTTTGTTGTAGAGACAGTATAAGCCATAATAGGAAGGGACAAGGGTATTTGCTGGTTGAGATAAGGATAGCTATACAGGGAGTTGACTCACATTAATTTCCTGTGCGTGTGTTACCTTCTAGGTTAATTCTTTTTGTTCTCACCTTTTCTCTAGTTCCTGGTCCCCTTTTCCTATTGGCCTCAGTTGCTTTAAAGTATCTGCTTTAGTTTCTCTGCGTTAAGGGCAACAAATGCTGGCTAATTTTTTAGGTGTCTTACCTATCCTCACCCCTCCCTTGTGTGCTAAAGCTTTTATCATGTGCTCAAAGTCCAGTCCCCTTGTTGTGTTTGCCCTTGATCTAATGTCCACATATGAGGGAGAACATAAGATTTTTGGTCTTTTGGGCCAGGCTAACCTCACTCAGAATGTTGTTCTCCAATTCCATCCATTTACCAGCGAATGATAACATTTTGTTCTTCTTCATGGCTGCACAAAATTCCATTGTGTATAGATACCACATTTTCCTAATCCATTCGTCAGTGGTGGGGCAACTTGGCTGTTTCCATAACTTGGCTATTGTGAATAGTGCCGCAATAAACATGGGTGTGCAGGTGCCTCTGGAGTAACCTGTGTCACAGTCTTTTGGGTATATCCCCAAGAGTGGTATTGCTGGATCAAATGGTAGATCAATGTTTAGATTTTTAAGTAGCCTCCAAATTTTTTTCCAGAGTGGTTGTACTAGTTTACATTCCCACCAACAGTGTAAGAGGGTTCCTTTTTCCCCGCATCCTCGCCAACACCTGTTGTTGTGGTGTTGCTGATGATGGCTATTCTAACAGGGGTGAGGTGGAATCTTAGCGTGGTTTTAATTTGCATTTCCTTTATTGCTAGAGATGGTGAGCATTTTTTCATGTGTTTTTGGCCATTTGAATTTCTTCTTTTGAGAAAGTTCTGTTTAGTTCACTTGCCCATTTCTTTATTGGTTCATTAGTTTTGGGAGAATTTAGTTTTTTAAGTTCCCTGTATATTCTGGTTATCAGTCCTTTGTCTGATGTGTAGCTGGCAAATATTTTCTCCCACTCTGTGGGTGTTCTCTTCAGTTTAGAGACCATTTCTTTTGATGAACAGAAGCTTTTTAGTTTTATGAGGTCCCATTTATCTATGCTATCTCTTAGTTGCTGTGCTGCTGGGGTTTCGTTGAGAAAGTTCTTACCTATACCTACTAACTCCAGAGTATTTCCTACTCTTTCCTGTATCAACTTAAGAGTTTGGGGTCTGATATTAAGATCCTTGATCCATTTTGAGTTAATCTTGGTATAGGGTGATATACATGGATCTAGTTTCAGTTTTTTGCAGACTGCTAACCAGTTTTCCCAGCAGTTTTTGTTGAAGAGGCTGCTATTTCTCCATCGTATATTTTTAGCTCCTTTGTCAAAGACAAGTTGGTTATAGTTGTGTGGCTTCATATCTGGGTCCTCTATTCTGTTCCACTGGTCTTCATGTCTGTTTTTGTGCCAGTACCATGCTGTTTTTATTGTTATTGCTTTGTAATATAGTTTGAAGTCAGGTATTGTGATACCTCCTGCATTGTTCTTTTGACTGAGTATTGCCTTGGCTATTCGTGGCCTCTTGTGTTTCCATATAAATTTAGTAGATTTTTCAATCTCTTTAATGAATGTCATTGGAATTTTGATGGGAATTGCATTAAACATGTAGATTACTTTTGGGAGTATAGACATTTTTACTATGTTGATTCTACCAATCCATGAGCATGGGAGATCTCTCCACTTTCTATAGTCTTCCTCAATCTCTTTCTTCAGAAGTTATAGTTTTCCTTGTAGAGGTCTTCACATCTTTTGTTAGGTTTACACCTAGGTATTTGATTTTTTTGAGGCTATTGTAAATGGAATTGTTTTCATACATTCTTTTTCAGTTTGCTCATTGTTAGTGTATAGAAATGCTAATGATTTTTCTATGTTGATTTTATATCCTGCTACCTTGCTATAGCTATTGATGTGTCTAGAAGCTTCTGAGTAGAGTTTTTTGGGTCTTTAAGGTATAGGATCATGTCATCTGCAAATAGGGATATTTTGACAGTTTCTTTACCTATTTGTATTCCTTTTATTCCTTCTTCTTGCCTAATTGCTCTGGCTAGGAATTCCAGTACTATGTTGAATAGGAGTGGAGATAGTGGGCATCCTTGTCTGGTTCCTGATTTTAGAGGGAATGGTTTCAGTTTTTCTCCGTTAAGTATAATGCTGGCTGTAGGTTTGTCATATATAGCTTTTATAATGTTGAGGTACTTTCCTTCTATTCCTAGTTTTCTTAGAGCTTTTATCATGAAATGGTGTTGGATCTTATCAAAGGCTTTTTCTGCATCTATTGAGATGATCAAGTGGTTTTTGTCTTTGCTTCTGTTAATGTGGTTTATTACGTTTATTGATTTTCGTATGTTGAACCACCCCTGCATCCCTGGGATGAAGCCTACTTGGTCGTGGTGAATAATCTTTTTGATGTGTTGTTGAATTCGGTTTGCCATTATTTTGTTGAGGATTTTTGCATCAATGTTCATTAAGGAGATTGGCCTATAGTTCTCCTTTTTGGAGGTGTCTTTGCCTGGTTTTGGGATAAGTGTAATACTGGCTTCATAAAATGTGTTTGGCAGTTTTCCTTCCCTTTCTATTTCGTGGAACAGTTTAAGGAGGGTTGGTATCAGTTCTTCTTTAAAGGTCTGATAGAATTCAGCAGAGAATCCATCAGGTCCTGGACTTTTCTTTTTGGGGAGACTCTTGATTGCTGCTTCAATTTCATTTTGTGTTATAGATCTATTCAGGTGATTAATTTCCTCTTGGTTCAGTTTTGGATGATCATATGTATCTAGAAATCTGTCCATTTCTTTAAGATTTTCAAATTTATTTGAATATAGGTTCTCGAAGTAGTCTCTGATGATTTCCTGGACTTCCATGGTGTTTGTTGTTATCTCCCCTTTTGCATTCCTGATTCTACTAATTTGGGTTTTTTCTCTCCTCATTTTAGTCAGGTTTGCCAGGGGTCTATCGATCTTGTTTATTTTTTCAAAGAACCAACTTTTTGTTTCATTAATTCTTTGTATGGTTTTTTTGGTTTCTATTTCGTTGATTTCAGCTCTTATTTTTATTATTTCTCTCCTTCTATTTGTTTTGGGATTTGCTTGTTCTTGTTTTTCTAGGAGTTTGAGATGTATCATTAGGTCATTGATTTGGGATCTTTCAGTCTTTTTAATATATGCACTCATGGCTATAAACTTTCCTCTCAGGACTGCCTTAGCTGTGTCCCATAGGTTCCGGTAGGTTGTGTTTTCATTTTCATTGACTTCCAGGAACTTTTTAATTTCCTCTTTTATTTCATCAATGATCCATTCTTCATTAAGTAATGAGTTATTTAGTTTCCAGCTGTTTGCATGTTTTTTGTCTTTACTTTTGTTGTTGAGTTCTACTTTTACTGCATTGTGATCAGAGAATATGCACAGTATAATTTCTATTTTCTTATATTTGCTGAGACTTGCTTTGTGCCCTAGGATATGATCTATTTTGGAGAAGGTTCCATGGGCTGCTGAAAAGAATGTACATTGTGTAGAAGTTGGATGAAATGTTCTGTAGACATCAACTAGGTCCATTTGATCTATTGCATATTTTAGATCT